AACACGTTAAATCCTTTTCTGTATCGCCCATTCGAAAGCGCGCTGTCCTTGTCTATCACTACGAATCCGTACTTGCATTGCCAACAATCGTGGCACAACGAGCAAAATTCATCGTACGCCATGTCGGTATTTACGTGATCGTTGTACACTTGTTTTAAATTAGTGCCATCCTGTTTGAACAGGATCAGCAGATTCGCGTTGTCGCGTATCAGATGTTTCGGTATTCTCGAGTACGTCTGACAGAGATAAAAGCAGTCGACGCTCGAATGCCTGCGCATTGAGAAATACTCTCTCACAGTGTCTTGCTTATCGCACGCCACGTCGTCGAAGACGAAAATCGAGTTTGGACACGCGTCGCTCGGCGAAATGACGTCACTGTTATTGGAGAAGATGTGGTAGCCGATTTTGTCGATCAATGTCAATAAATTCTCCAGATATCGGTATTTCGGTTGTTGCAGCGATTTCGAGTACACGTACACGTTCTCGAAACGTACACCGGACTTTCCATTAAACTTATCAGAACGTTGGTTTTACCACAATTCGAAGAAACCGCAAATGATCGCGCGTATAGTAGTCGGCAGCATCGTACCGTGTCTGAGCCTCTCAGCGTTGCCCTCCATCGACCGTGCTCTGTCGTCGCAATTCATCACGCGAATCGCCAACGGTTGTTGCACGAATCTCATTTTTTTCTCTTACACTTTGTACGACTGAATCGAACTTTCGTTCGAACGTCTATTTATAGGTGCGCGGAACCGCGAATCGCTCAGTCGAAAAGATGTTCGTCCTGCTGTCGAGACCTTCGGACATTCGCGATTTTAACGCCGAACAGCTGCAATTCGTGCCGAAAGCCGTTCTATTGCAAGTGTGCGGTGATCACGTCCACTACGTGTGGGACAAGCTTTCGGAGCATATAAAGACCGATTTGGAGGTTCAAACCTATCGTCGCTGTGACGAACATTACAATCAACCGTGGCAGGAAACGCACATCGACAGTCCCGATGATTCATTGTGGCGAATGTCAACGAAAAAAATAAAAACAGGTAGAGGCCTGTTTAATCGCGCGATAGGTGCACTTTCGATCGAATTGCACATTCCCGGCTATCAGTATTGCGGTCCGGGTACTCGTTTGCGAGAACGATTGGCTAGAAGTAATCCGAGTGTAAATCCATTTGGACGCGGCGTGTTGCGAGCACGACATAGCCTATTCGCGTAACAAAGGCCTCACCGAGAGACACACGGCGGACAAGATACTCGCCGAGAGAGCGCTAGGACGCGTCATCGCGAGAGATTCGACTCTCGGAGAGAGAGCTGCCGCTACAGCCATCTGGGCGGCCATGAAGACTAAGACGAAGCTCGG